CTGAAATCAATCAAGAACAACCTTGTCCGTTTCAGTTCCCTCACAAAATCAAGTACTATGAACTAAATGGGTTGGCCTAGAATTACAGCAAAAACTTGATTGAGGATTGGGATTTTAGAAATCGAAACGTATCATTACTTTGGCTTTTTGTTCTGTTGTTGTTTTGCGGTAGCTAGGTATTTTCTCGCCACTTTAACTTAGGGGAGTAATAAACAGTTTTTAAATATTACTGACGGCTTCATTAAGACTGTCCAGTTGGAATCTGAATCACTTCTGCTAATGGCCAGTGCTTCCACCTTCCTGCATTTTATTCTTGTTTATCCGAGAAAAATGTTGATCATATCCTTCACCGTGGTTTTTCACTCTTGTGGTTTTCCACTCCTCTTCCCTGTCCGCCCTAGAAGATGATTGTTATGCAGTAAATCGCATTTGGGAGCAATTATTTGACATTCAAAAAAGTGCTCAAATGTGTACAAATTTTGTAACTTATTGGCCAAATATTTAGTGAATCATGTCCTTAATTGCTGACGATAATCACTAAAAACATTTTTTAGCCGCGAATCAGCCCTATGTTGTGCTTGAAATGGATGAACCGGCGCAAAAATTCCAGACTAATCCAGGCCTCAATATGAGCCCATATTGGGAAGAATCTTTTGACTTGTAAGTTTTTATGCTTTTTTTGCAGCTTTGCATTGCAGAGAACGCATGTGTGTGAGTGTGTATCTGTGTGTTCATCTGTACCGATTTCTTATCTCGAGGCCTATGAAAATTACAGGGCTGAGGCTTTGGGAACTTAATTTACGTGCATATGCGGGTCCTCATCCCCAAAATGGGCGGTCTTACCCGCGTGGTGCCCACGTACGGGCCCGTGAAAGTTTTTTACGAGTAAGTCGTTAACTCGCGAACCAGAAAAGCTAGTAAGATGAAATTTTAAGGGAATTTTCCCCGTCCACGTTAGTCTCATTCAGCTCAAATCCAGCCCTCGGATGTGCGTGGTACCCACGTACGGGCCCGCCAAATCTTTATCGGATATTTTGATAACTCGGGGATCTGAGAAGCTAGAAGGCTGATATCCTACGGGGATGTTCCTTGTCCAAGTAGGTATTAATGCGCTCAAATTCAGCCCCCGGGTAAGCGTGGTACCTATGTGCGGACCAGCAAAATTTTTTTTTTGGGGTAAGTTGTTAGCTGGGGAACTTGAGAGGCTAGAAGACTGGAATTTTGAAGAGATGTTTCGTAACAGTTCTGGCGGCCAGTCTGAAATTCTTTTAGCTAGAAACATCTGCTGGAAAAACCAGTGCAGAAAGCGACAAAAATCTGCGAAAATCTATGCAAAAAACGCATCTTCACACGGGCAGCCCGTGCGTTGGCCAGTTATTTATGTTTAACTAAAAGTGTTTCTTTGTTGGTGCATACGCATGCCTAGAAAACATAGACAATAACTTATTTCTAACTGACCTCTGAGTGACTGCTGTTGGCGAGTGCCACCACTTGAGCCACTTGCGAGTACCTTCGTCTGTCAGGGGCAGTGAATGTCGAGCGCGTTTGACTTTGTTTCTTTTTATTGAAGATGCATTCAAACATCGGTAATAACAGTGAATTTCAGCGAACTGACAGCAGCGTCAGAGGAAATCCTTTTTGAGGTGTATGAGAGTGAAGTGAAAGGCGGTGTCGGTGCGCAGCACGAATCCGAAGATGACCGTTTTCTGGGCCTTGCAATTGTCGGTCTGGAT